CTCCCTTTCTCTCTTTCACTCTCCTGAGGCTTAGATTAGCAGATCGTCGTTGACTTATACTCGACGGCATATGATAGCAAAATTCATGGTGTGTTCCCACGGCAATCATTCGTATCCTTTCACGAAAGCTGTCAAAGATGAATTATGTCAGAAAAAAAAAAGAAAAAACAGAAGCTATCATAATGGTCAGTTTTCAGAATGAGCATATAATCGAAACATTACAACCAATTGCTCTCTTTGGTGAATTATCAATTTCACGCCATTCCTGCTCAGCACGTGTTATCCGTCCAGCTGAAATTGTCACTATCAATCAACATCATTTCATCTCTGTTTATAATGTTCGTGTTTATTTCATCATTAACAGCTAATTAATGATTGTTCTTTAGAATGGAAGCAACAAGCAGTTATGTTAAGTTTCTTCCTCTAATTATCCCCACTGGAGATGTTGCTTATCGAAAGTTCCAAAACAACGCTGTAACTGAGTGGAGAGACTCTTAAATTGATTTGATCTCGTTGACTTATTACCGCTTTTATAAAGAATACCAAATAAGTTGAAAAAGAGAAAACCTGGATGAGTGGTACTTTTGCAATTCCCTCCGTCCAGATGACCTCCCAGCTTATGTCATGTATTCCTTTCCTTGCTTCTCCAGCAATATTTTCATTTATTTCGGTAAGCAGGTTTTCTGACCATAACTTTGAAATGCAGACTGCTGGTAGAAAAGGCAAAGATTTCCGTTAACAAGAGGATTCCATAAAATCTGAGATCCTTATTTTGAAGCATGGCATCATTTGCATCACTTAGACTTTTGACACGTTGTGGAAAATTTGGCACATATAAAGGAGTTATATACGGAATATTTTGGCGCAATCTGCATAATTAATTTATTGGAATCTCTCTGAAATGTCTTCAACTATTACATAGCTAATATTAAGTATGCTGCTAATTTGCTTTATTCACAATGTACATTTGGGAATGACGAGTTTTTTCTTCCAGAGAGAAAAGTCTGGAATGAATCAGCTAATTAAAGGGTCATTTGTAAAATTTATGAGAATCCCACGAACAATAGATTAACAGCAGTTAATCAAGTTACCGTTTAATGAACAATTTGTAATAAAATGATTTATGCTTACTTCATAAATAACTGTTTAATAATCGTTAGCATTAGCCATACATTCATGATACCTTTAAATTTCCCATTTAGGACTGATATTGATCACTTTTGTGTACCTTGAGAAAATAACGGGTAATAACTGTCCTTTTGGATAAACGAATTCACCGAAATCTGCGTCACAAATTTTCGGACCTCCCCCAATTCCCTTGTCACTAAGACTGTTCGAAGCCATTTTTGACATATGTAGAACGAAAAATGCTCAAAAAAAAAGATCGTATCCAAAAAAAATGGCATAAAGTGTCTTGCACTGATTCTTTTTAAGCTTAGTTGTACTGAATATTCTTTTGTGCTAAAATTACTTGCAATCCGGAAATTTTGAACTTCACAGGCTATCTCCCATCCTAATCGACAACATGCACATGAACAAATACCTGTCTGAATTGTTCCGTTACATTTATTTGTTCAGCTTTCTTCGAGCAACATCTCTCTCTCTCCCTCTCCCTCTCTTTCTTCCTCCCTCTCTCTCTTTACCACACTAGTGATTCAAGAAGAATTAACAACAAGCAGGTAGCAAAATATTTTCCCTTATTGTTAAACTTCTAACTAATAGTTTTCTTCTTCAAATAGCATGCCTTTCCGCCCAATCAAGCCATCATCCTTTCACGGAAGTATTTGATAAAGCACTTTGAAATGCACCCTCTCACTATCCCCCCACTATAGCTACGGTTACTACCTGAAGTTATTAATGAAGTTCCATTTTGATAATAGAATTTAATTATTTAACAATGTAAGATGCTACGATATTTAGCAAATTGCGCTTACTGCTACAATCATACCATACCTTCTCGCATGCTTTCTCTGAATATATTCGTAACGAGCTTAAAATTAACCTTATTGCAGAAACACGCGAACAATCTGCAGCCACATATTGTCGTCATGCAGGATCTCCTCTCTGATGACCTCGGTTCGTTCGTTGTTTCTGTTTTTTTAGCACCTGTTAAGTGAGGACAATTTGTTTCATGTCATAACATTCATTATATTCCATCAAAAATGCTCCCTTCTAAAAAACACTTTAAAGAACCAAAAGAGATTATGTTACAAATAAAGTATAATTGTTCTCGAACTACTAAATAACCCAAAATGTCTAAGTTTATCAACTCCAATTTTACTACTTGATTGGATACCCTTGATCAACTTCAAATAGAGTGTGACAAATTGTGACAGAGTTGATTGTTAAATACAGTCTTTTGATGAGTCATTAACTAGAGTTGAAGATGTCGTGGTTTTTGGACATTCAGCGCTTTCATATGGTGTAGGGAAGGTTCTTGACACTTAGAATATCAGAAAAATGAGCTAACAGGAAAAGGGTTTTTGCCGATACAGAGAAGCAGTGCTTTTCTCTTTCAAAAAAAGTATAATGTTAATAATTAATTTCCAGATTTCTGTTCTAGAGAGTGCTGAGAAACTGCTAGTATTTTGTCACCTATTATCAGATTGCTTGGTTTTCAATTATGACTGATCGATTGTTTGACGGCTGGCCTCAGTTAATACTTTTGAGCGACATTTATAGCCCAGTAGACTCTAAGAAATTATCCTGGTTGTGCTATTCATGTGCAGTTTGCACAGTAAAAAGTGAATTAAAATTAGGATTAGAAATTAGACTTGAATACTTAATTAGGTCAAAATTAGAATGGAAATACAAATGTGAGTTCTGTCAAGCGCTAAGTGCAGTACTCATTGTGGTCTTGGAATTTGCGATATGTTCACTTATTTTTAACCCATGATATAAACTGCTTGAAGAAGCATCGTTTAACTAAATATTCTCTGCAAAACTAATGAAGAAGTTGTAACTGCCTCAATTTATGAGTAATTATTAGGTTCGAGAAGATAATTAGTCGCTTCTGGGAAACTTTTAATGTTTCGGATGCTGAGGTACACTAGTCAAGCTGTTCTGCCATAAATCAGGAATTAAGATGAGCAAGGCTTCGTCAGAATGAAAGTAATTGTATGAAAAGGATACTTTACGGGATATCACTATATTACGGTCTAGAGATGGATGACATGGCTTTTAGCAGTAAATGCCAACTTTTCCTGATTCTGTTACTTATCTTTACTACTCTCTTATCTCGGCTTCACCAATTGATTGTCTGAAATGTGAGATAATATATTCACATATAGTTCTTTCCTTTCTTATGTGATATAATACATATCGTCTTTTTTTTTTTTTTTTTTACAAACTACAATGCAGCGGCATTAGTTTCGAAAAGCCCCAAGCAAAGAGATAGCATTAGTCTGAATGGTAATGTAACAACCGTTTCAATCAACCTGGCGTGTCATGACAGTAAACCAGAAACACTGAACACTTCTTAAGAATTTTCCTTGCTTCGGAGAATCAATACTGGAAAATATGCGGATTTAAAAGGATTCTGGAACAAATAAACTTTACCAAAATACAGAAACTGAAAAATCATTTATTTCACCTTTAGCAGTAACAATCACCACATATTGGTAGAGGCCAAAAAGTATGCAAATGACCGAGAAGTTAAGCGCATTTTATAGTTTCTAATTGGAAGGTATAATAATCATTCACTAATAAACATAAACATATAATATAAGAAATGACATATGGATGTAAGTTGGAAGTTTCAAGTCAACTAAGACTGAAACGAAGTTTGATTTTGACGAATTTGCGGCATTTTTCCTACAGATGGCAAGATGACGTATAATTTTTACGAAATGAGACGGCGTAACAACGAAATTGCTAATGATGTGCAACATGAACTGAATGCAACTACTGCTGATGTTGACAACGAAACGCAATGTGACTGGAATTCTCCTTCAAGTTACTTCGAACTCAATAATTCTGCTGTAAGTAGATAGCGTCTCCACAGATTTGAGTTTTTCGTTATCCGAGTGTTTTATTAAAGTGGTTATCAATTCAATTTCTTAAAAAATTATCCTATTACATAAAATGAGAGATCCACTGATATAGCTTACAAAAGTAAATGACACCGTCTTGCTAGGTATCAGCATGCCTATCAGATTTAATTGAAATTACTATGAGTAATAACATTAAGATTTCAAAAATGTATCAGTTTTTATCAGTTTCTTTTTTTTTTATGTAAAAATTATTAGGCTGAAGAATTCCGATTAACCTAGCTTTGTCTCATAATTTTTAGTCATTGCAATCAAGGATCTACGAAGCAGGATATATCCTTAAACGGACTATGGAATTACGTGACCCAAATCTTGTTAGTGATCGTAAAGGATATTTGCAGGTATTTTTCAGCTAATTCGAAAATTCATTTTGTGACATGCTAAGGATAGTACTTCTTACGCCACTGTGCTTTGTTAGATTTGAGCAAAACAAAGAAATTGATGCGATATAATCTGAAATGAACAAAAAACATCAGAGAAATCAGTGATTGGTAAAGTATTCTATAATGATATGATAAGCGATACAATTTAATAGGTCATCATCAAGGAGGAAAAAGGAAATCAAAAGAAATTGGCAGGAAACGAAACTTCATTTTCTAGTGCAAGACTCTTTTTCTGATTTCTATTAAAAGCATTTCAGGGCAGTACAAGGAATGTAGATGAGTAATTGTCTTAAAGAGAGATATTCAAAGTCCCCTGAAAATCCCTTAAAAATTATAGTTGAAATAAAAAACTCGATGCATGATACTAAATAATAGGTGGAAACTAACTATAAAGTTCGTAGATCACTCAACAATTAATTACGACGTGATATCAAAAGTGGCTAGTAATCAGCTGATAAATAATTGGCTAGGAATGAATTAGTCCCTCATATCAAGATTGTGATGCATACTGAGCTAAAAGAATTTGTCTTTTTTCCAATTAATTTATAGAACTTAATTTTCTAAATCACAAATATGAAAAAGTCAAATGAGGAGTATTGTATCATTAACAGGAAGAGGCGGTTGAGAAGTATTTCTGTTCTAATTTCCAGATCCAATTTAAGTCTAAGACTAGAGCAATGAGTCTTCAAAATTTTGGTCGGACTTCTAATTGATTGTTACAGAATGTAGTAATACAGAAGGTAGCAATATTGGCAATAACGGTTTTGCTCTGTTTTTCTATTTTTATCTTCATATCTTCCATTTACTTAATATTGAATTAATTCTCACCCATCACTCAACAAAATCTAGTGAAATATCAAATGTATCAAGCGAGGAAGGCGTTTTGGTGCAACAATATATGATAATTACATCTACAGTTGAGTGTAAATGAGGAAGGATAAGTAATAGAAAACGGAAAAAAAAATGAGTGTAATAAGCGGAATTTTTAATCTCACAATTATATTTATCATAAAATTTAAATCTTTGGAACTCATTTATTTTAGGTAAATTCAAAAATCCAAAATTAAGAAGGCTATGAAAATTTCTTTAGTCTTTTTTGTCATGCATGATTGGTACGGAAATGGTTGACTGGTTGAGTACTCTTGCTACCGAAACGTTGGATTCAACCAAAAATATATCATTGACACGTTTTCAAGTGGTTGGTATGTGGCAGGCATTGTTGGAAAATGGTATCATCGCACATGGTTAGCGAATTTGGCTTTATTATTGTCTTATCCTTATTCTTCTGGCTATGGCCCATTTTGGCTTCATTATTGTCTCATCCTTATTCTTCTGGCTATGGCTCATTTTGGCCGGTACCTTGTCACCGCTGGGATAAGATCTGAGATAATTGCCACGGTAAAATGTGAAGTGACATTTAACACCTTAAACCGTATCACAAGTAAACGGTGAGGTAGCTAATAAGCAAAAAAAAAATCTGGCAGTGAAGGACTACGTGTGTCAGACTTTTACTTAGCCATTTCTAGAATAATATTTGGGTCACGCGAACTTTTGGATAAGCAGATTTGTTAATCGGAAATTGAACTTCCCTTCCGTGAATGAATAATATTCAAAATACTTTAGGGATCTATCATTTCGCGTCGAGAAAAACATACTTTTAGGTAATCGAAGCTAATACTAAACCGAGTAAAAATTTTCAAATTAGAAAAAAATGCACTCATACAGAAAGACTGCCTGCAGAAATACAAATAAATGGACAAGAACATGAAATTAGGGTCGTAGTTCCAAGAGCAAAATTATTGCGATTTAAAAAAAAAGATGTTAGTCGAGGGATTTCGTGACAAAGTTGGAGGATCATACTTGTTACTTTTCAGTAAGCAACGAATTACAGTTTGCCGACAAGCATATCTTTTATCGTTGGACTAATGGTATCACAAGTAGCGTTCATATGAGGTATTTACAATTTATGCTGACATTAATTTATTATAAGATCCGTAGCCTATATTTCTCAAGGCGTTTCTCAGCAATCTTGTTTCTCAATAGAAAAAATGGCTTTTCATGAATTTATGCAAATTAAAAGATGTTGTACGAAGATGCGTTAAATTTCTACTGCCAAGCCTATATCAGGTTTTACGTGAATATGTATGTCAAAAGTTTAAAACCATTTATCGTCTGTTTAGTTATGTATCTTGCTTAGAGGTGATATTTTCGTCTTTTTAATCACAATTTCAATTTAAACTTGATTTTTACAACCATTTAATAAATTGTCCCACTTAATAAATTCAGTATTTTGTAAGCTAATATCAAGTATCCAATTATTTAATAAATCAGTAAATTATAACTATTTTTCTTAAATTTCTAAAAACTCTTTTAAGGCATAACTATCGACTTTTCCCATCATTTGTAATTTATAAATAAATGAAAATTATATGTACTAAAAGCTCGCAGGTTAACATCCGGTGTGATATTTGACGGAGAACAAGAATCGGTACCATACGTTAGTGATATTGCCGCAGCCATATCTTTCCTCAATACCATTGGACCTGATTCGTTGTTTCGCATGATTCTCTGCAAACCGTCTGTTTTAAGCAAATCCGTTTTTATGTTAAAAGTTAAAGAAAGAATAAAACAAAGTGAAGAGACATTTTTAGATGACAGATGAGATGTTATTTTTGGATGCTTATTATATATTTCATTGAGGTTTTTCTTACTTTGATTCCTTTTCAGGTCGTTGGAACGTACTTTGCAAGAACTAGAGCACGTCTACAGGGAACTATTACACGTAAAAGCACTAACTCATCTGAGTACAATGGTGAAACGTGAATTGGCCGCGGTTGTTTTCTTCGAACAGCACCAACATGCTGGACATGTACTGTTCCGGCAGGGTGATGTGGGCATATGTTGGTATATCATCCTCAAAGGATCCGTTGATGTTATCATACACGGAAAAGTAAGTCTTTTTCATGCGGAAACTTAGCATTTATGTATACACCAGCTAAGACTGTTTCTAATTTTTTGACACCTTTGATTTGAATTTGAATTTTGAAAACTTGTCGATGGATCATTCTAATCAACTGTATTTCTTTATTCCTGGCATTGAAGAATGATTACCCGAACTGCTGATGACACAACAGTTCAATAAGGTTAGAGGTCGAGTTGTCTTTATAATGACCTAGATATAAAATATGACCTCCACTAAACTTATTTTATTTTCCTTCGTTCCTTCGCTAAACTTATTTTATCTTACTCTTTTTTTGCGCACTCTTAATACAATCATTTTCTTTTGAAGTCAGACAGATGGGATTTGGAAAATGTGCCAAGTAGGACATTGGAAATTCTTGAAAAAAGCAAAGTTAAGGATTTGATATATGCAAGATAATCTGTAAGCGCTACATAATATATCCAAAATAATATTTATTAATTTATGATATGAATTGTTCCTTTATCCACATTTACTATTTCTGAGAACGCTTATTCAGTCCTTCCTATCTTCCATACTTTTGTGTTTCCTCAATTAATTCATCTCCATTTCCTCTTCTCTATCAAGTTAAAGCAGTACTGTTTGTTCAACGTTTTTTCAATTGTTTCATCGTGTAATTATAAGAAATCTAAGCGAAAGCTTAAGCCATTTATTTCACATTTTCATCGGAATGTCCCTGATCTTTGTGATTCTTCGGGATTTTTACTTCTAGATCGACGGTTTCATTCAGAGCGATGCGCAGTTTTCATCTACTCTACGAGCTTTATTGAATCTCGGCAAACTTAAAAGGCTGGCATAAATTTTGCAGAAGAAAAAAAATATAAAATATTGGCTCCAGCAAAAGCGTTTCCGTTGTTACTGAAACTGATGAAGAAATAAAAAATCACTGAGATAAAATGATAGCAAAAGATTCCAAATGAATACATGCCGCAGTAGTGATAATTGATAAGGTTTCATTTTACCTGATAAAAGGAAAAATTCACAAAAATTTCCACTTTTTACTATTTTATTCCAACTGATATTTTGAAGAATAGGCATTTAAAGCTAATTCTGCTCGCATTTTTCACAGGAAACTGAGAAATTGGAGCTGTAATCCATTTTGTAGGATAGCAATGAATTGTTTGCTCAGATCAGCAGATGTTCAGAGCAGGATTTTAGATTTGACTACTCGAATCATTTGTCCCAGGAGATACAAAGCAGTTTCGCTTCTCTTTCATCATACCTTCGCTACTTTTATATTACTGGCTCCTTTTTTAGAAAAAAAAGAAATTGATGAAAAATTGACAATATTTTTGACAGCAATCACCATAATACTGACTCCGACACTGATATGATATGGGTGATAGAAATTGCAATTATGATGATGATGATGATAATAATAATGATGAACGTAAATATTCAGGGTGTTGTTTGTACTCTTCGTGAAGGTGACGATTTTGGTAAATTAGCTCTGGTAAATGATGCGCCTCGCGCTGCTACTGTAGCTCTTCGTCAAGACAAATCACAGTTTTTGCGTGTTGACAAGGACGATTTCAATCGGTGAGTTAAAGTTGTGTTTGTAAATAATTAATAATAGAGTGAGTTAGGATTTTATAGAATGCATTCTTCATTTTCACTCTTATTGTCTTTTGAATGATTTGAAGATAGCTAAATTCTCAAGATAAATTTAATTTTCAAAATTAGGGAGGATTCCTTTCATCTTAACAAAATTTTCTACCTAGTAAATTAGTTTCAAATAGCATCTCTAACATTATTATCGAATACGGTACACAGTAGTATTTGCAACAATGCATACACCAACTGCATGCAGATTGCTGATTGCAAGGGATCACGCTGTTTGGTTCCTTTTAATCTTCTATGTATTAAGGTTTTTAAGCTTTCCATTTATGCGAAATTCGAAAATATCCTATCCATATTTTCAGAAGGCCTATCCTTTCGAATAAGTATGTTAGAAGCGGGAAAATAAATGACTGATCCAGTCTCAGGAGAGCGTAGGGAGGCAGGGATGGAAGGGATTGCTGTAATGACGGTAGTCAATTGTTTTTTTTGTTGATTTTTAATCGTATTTGACAATCTCCATCGAAATTTCCGAATTCGATGGAAGAAATGGCAAGCTTTAATAAACTGTCTGCCGAAATGTCTGTGTTTGTTTGGTATTGGCGACATTGACGCAGATGTGATCTGTTATCTGTTATAGTCGGTCATTCTCATGAGCTGTATTCTTTTTTGAAAATTTCTAGTATAAAATGATTGGAGGAGTACTCAGATAAGAGCATCAGTTTTAAGAACTGTACTTCAAAAAACATTTTCTATTAATGTCCTGTCTACATTAGATAGGTGATGCATAAATTTAGTTTCAGAATTTAATAAACCCAACTGCTTAAATAAAGATTCTGAATTCATTCGGTCTAGGAGGATTCAGGATCACTGGATTCCTTAAATAATCAGAACTTGATAAGAATCTGTCTTGGCTTCATGATAGCATTTCAATCTTTCGGCTCTTTTTTAAAGGATGAGAGAAAAGCAGTGCAGTATTTTTTTTTTTTTTCTATGAAATATTTTATTTCCAGTTGTTAGTTTTTGCCACAATGGTAGTATAGTTTATTAAATGATCACTTCCACTCGATGTTAACAAAAGTACACATCACTAGAACAGATTTTTGATACTTGATCACTTTTCCACGAACACACTGATACCATACTGCAAATAATATTCTTTCAAAAGGAATGCTGTTGAAATGTTATTGAAACTATCAGCAGTTTATTTCCAAAGTAGCACCTCACTTTAAATCTCAGGTATTGATAAGAATTCATGGATAAATGTCTCTTCTTAAGCTTATCGATAAATCAATTTTTTTAATGGTTTCTAACTTGAAATTTATTGGATTTGCATCATTTCTTTCCACAATTTTGCTAATTGTTTTTTTTTTTCTTTATCAATTTATGATATATTTGAAAGGAAGGAAGCAACCATAGTGAAATTAAAACACTGGTAGTGTTACAACATCTACCCGTTTTCAGCAATATCGCTACTTAACTGAAATGGCAATCGCCAGGAAGTGTCTCATAGTATTCTTTTTATTTTTTTATTCGTAAATATTTCACTTCCGTCTTCTACATACTACTATATTCTTCGTATTCATTTAAACATTTCCTGTTGCTTAATTGACTACTGTTAGGAGTAAGCTCATCCAAAGGGATATTTTAATTTCAATCAGTTTTCATATATCTTGATTTTCTTTTTTGATCTTCAAACCATTTTGGCTTTTTTCAGGACATCAATGTCGAAAATTTCCAATGTTATTGTTTTGTGTTTTCTAAAGCTCAGTTTCAGATCAATAACTGTTTTAAGATTACTATTACTGGTCAGACTGGCAATGATTTCTTCACTTGTCCCTAGAGTAGCAGTATACTTTCTTTGCTTCATTAAAGCTTTAGAAATATTTGCTATTCATACCGTGCCATAACTATTTTCTTTATTATCAGGCTCTAGTTGCTAATAAGTAATCACTTCTGGTAGTTAGAAAATGACTCACAGTGCGATTATATTGCTGCATAGATAATGGAAGTAAATCTTTTCGCCTATCCATCGAACCACTTTTTTCTATATGCGAATAAATTTCCGTTTGTCGATTGTCGTTTCATTACTCATTTAAATGTTTAGCCGTCCAAATTAATTAGTTGATAATTAATAATTTACAATGGCTTTCATTGTATATAACACCACGTGTTATCATGCAAGTGGAATAGCGAAGTAGGCAGAATACTTTAACTGTTTCATAGTACACGATAGCTGTCGGTGGAAAATTTGGTGATTCTGACTTATCAAATGCATCTTGTTCTAATTTATTCATCCTGATATTATTATTCTGAATTACGACGGTAAATTTGAATTGTTCCACTGATCGGTGCTGCATTCACTGAACTTGTAATCAATGCAGCATTCACTAAATCTAATCGAAATCAGAATTCATGCTTGCAATGAGTCATAAAAAGATTACCGGAATAATCCCACGGGAAAATTTAAAAGGAGCAAGATTCCAAAAAGATTCTCGAATTAAGCATAATGATACTGTTTAGAGTTTGTTTCATTGCGAGAATGCCTACTACCTAGTACTTTTGGAATCAATTCATTCTTTTTTCTTCAATTCTCTCTTTCCACATGCGCCTCGTTTGTTGACCCGCTCGCCGCTAAAGTGCATTTGTTGTTTCACTGAAAAATTAGTTTGCCTCACTTACGCAATTTCAATGCTTCGTTATTTTCCTCTGATAAAAAATATTCCGAAGAATCCAACTTTCCGTACCAGATTAAAGGCAATTCAAATAGTTCTTGTAACAGGAATGATTTTTTGGCTTCTTACATTTACTTTGGAATGTCAGATGTCAACGTCTTCATGAATAAAAGTTAGACCCAATTATTCTCGTCGTTATATTGCATAGAAAAGAAGTTGCAAAATTACTTCTGTACTTTTTATCAGAAGTGAACCATATACTGATTGATATTAACTCTTATGATGGTAAATCAGACTGTATGATCGTAAAAATCTTTTGTCTTTCCTATCTTAAAAATTAAATAATTCGACATAACTTTAAGTATGAAATGAAACAAAACTTTTTTTGCAGCATTTTACGAGATGTGGAGGCTAATACCGTACGATTGAAAGAACATGGACAGGATGTGCTCGTATTGGAGAAGATGAATGCGGTGTATCAAACGTTCAACGATGCTTATCACACTTCCGTTGCAGTTGCAGTTAATGCTGTGGCAATAGACGCTCTCGATGATTTGGCTGCAGACATAAGGCCAAGATGTTGGTTGGTGTCGATTTTCTTTATGTAAACTACTAACACTTGTTTTTTAAATATTCCCAATTCATTTCATATTTAATTGGTAATTTACTTCTTATCAACTAATTGGTTTTAATGACATTAAACTTTTCATAATTTACAAATCATCGTTATTTAATATCGAATAAATCAGAATTTATGAGGAGACGTATAGGAATTTCAAATCTATTTTAGTTTGCTTGTCTATCTGTTTTGTTAATTTCTAATTTTATCTTTTCTAATTTTTGAACAATTCTTTTATAAAGTAGATTTATTTGGAACTTCAGTCTTGATGCATTCATATTTGATACTTTTCTTTTGTGAAAGTAATCACGAAATATTCGTGTATCTAAAATTCAAACCCTTCGCTTAGGGATCTTTTTTTTTATAAAAAAGAAAACTCTGGAAAACATTTATCAGGTCTTAACAGTTGAGGGAAACATTTTTCTCAAAATTTGAAATGTTTAATTTTTTCGTATATTGGAAAATTGATTGATCACTAATATTTATATGTGCATATATTAGTTTGTTTCTGGTTGATACCTGAGTTCAGCTGATTTGAAATTTTTTTTGTTTATCTTGGCAAATCTTGCTACTACTTTTAAAAAGGTTTGCAGTTACTCACTTTTGTTTTCAAAAGTCCCGCACACGTCTACATAATTATTTGTGATTATTTAATTCTTTTTATTCAACTTTACTGTCCTCCATTTTAGTTTGCGAAATGCCAAACACGTTAATTGATAACTTTATAAAATAAGTGAGGTAATGAATAGCTAGCAAATAAACTGATTAAAGTAAGTCAAAATATTATCAAATTACAAAGGCTATGCCGAATTGTTCATCCATTAAAAGAATCCTCTGGAGAAATATTTGAAAATTGTTTAAAAAATAGATTCCAGTTACTCGGTGGTGGCTGGGATGCCGGAGAAAACCGTAGAATATTTGTTGGAAACTCGAATAGACGCGCAAACCGATGATGGCTTGGTGGATACATTTTTGGAGGATTTCATTCTTACACATATCATTCATATGCCCGTTAACATTTTATGCAGTTATCTTAAAAATTATTACATGCGTGGTTCCACCGTATGTTTTTCAAAAAAAAATTTTTTTCAGCTTTCAATCATTTGCAAAATGCCAAATATTTCAGCTTAGTACTAGTGCTGATTTCTTCTGAATTTATATTTTGACATTGGCATACATTCAATCCTTCAAATCTCATAACTTATACAAACCTTTCTGTAGTTTCCTGAAGTTAGTAATCATTGAGAAATCTGAACTGAAGGAAATATGACCAGTTTGTTGTTTCTAGTTCTCCGTTATTGAAACATCATTCAAACAACCTTTTGATCTCTCTGAATTGTCAGTTGTCACTTTTTCTTTTTTTCTTTTTTTTTTTTTTTTTTTTTTTGTCAGGTCGGAATGGATGGTACACTACCAACAGACAATTATGAGCACAAAATTGTCGCAAAACGACGTGTGGTTACCTTTCTGAATTTATGGGTACAAATTCTTGGTTTACGATTCTTTCTTGATCCTGCATCTAACAGTTTCGTTGAGGTCGACTATTCAATTCAATTCTCTTTGACTGGTTATAGTTGAATTGATTTATTACTATAAAACTTTTTGATCAAACAAATATTTACCTGCTGAACGAGTAAGCTTACGTAAGTACAGTTTGGAGATAAGTTTTTCCGGTAATGTCGCAGTTACAAAAGAAAGCATAAATGGTAAAGTGAGGAAAGAAATTAAATAACTATGGAAGAATAATCGATCGGAAAAACCAAGAAGTTAGATTGCAGGAATTGTATTGTTACGTTCTGGAAGATAGTCGACAGTTTCCAGAAATGTTGTCAAATCTGGAAGCAATGTGCGCAATTCGACAGCTTCGTGAAAGTGCCATGCAAACGATTAACAGGCATTCATCAGTAGTACTTGACTGTGGTGTTTACTGTAGCTATGCTCCGGCACCGAACCCCGTACTACCATTTGATACCTGTTGGTTCCCTTTGTCACTTTTATTCATCTTTTCTGGTTTCGTTTTTTCACATCCACGCTTTGCTTATATTGCACTGTTTGTTTTATTTCCGCAGTCGCTGACTCATTTTATTATACTATCATTCCTTAGACAGCGAAGGATTTTTATCGGTTGATCTCTTCAGGTAACCAAGTAATTTATCTGTCCGACACAAGCTCTTTCATAATGAGCATAAGACTTGATAAAACTGCTGCTGATATCTGTGAAATGGCAAAAACAAAAATGCTTTATAATGGCTCCAACGAGGAACTGCAATTAGTTGAAGTGAAAAGCAGTGGAGGTGGATTTTGCAAGTTATTGGGAGTTTTAAAATTCACATCTCCACCTCAAATTGCATTTCAAATTCTCAATGATCGTAGTAAAAAAACACAAAGCCTCTTTTTTTTCAAAAATTTGGAAAACATTCAATGTAGAAATCCTTTCAGCCTCTCCCATCTTTCATTATCTAACCAAAGTTTCAAAATTTACTGTTATAAAATGAAAGTAATAATAGAGATTAGGAAGAATCACTTTAAGACATCAAAGAACGGATCTACATTCCACATTCATTAATATTCCTGTTTAATTCAGTTTTGAAAAATTCCACGTAAAAATACGAAGTTTGATTGCTGGAGCTACTGCTGTAGTCACAAATTTAGACTAGTTTTTCAAGAATTTGCACTTTTCAAACGACTGAAAGAAATTTTCGAATGTGCATTATAGAAAGAATAATCTTTGCACCGAATGATATCAGTATTCCGACAATGATATCACTAAACGGACGTTTATACATCGTTTATAATAATCAAATCGAAACGCTGGTAACTTTTAGTGTTCGAGTAGATTGTTTCTCCAAAAGAGACTCGTAATTCATTACCAATTTCATCCATCGATATTCAAATCCACAATTCTCTTCAATGTTAGTAAAGAATTCATGAAAACTACTTCAGACTCCAATGCCGCAACAAGTTGGTCCATTAGAGATTATCCATTCCTCATTGCTGGACTGTTTAAGTAGTATTGATATTGCTCAACAATTGCTGATTTTTCACACCCAACTGTTCGAAGCAACCGATGATATCGAACTTATCACTCAGGTTCTTGATTCTGAACTATCGTCATATTAAATCTTTTGAAGAAACTAAAAACTTTTTGAATTTCAAGGACTTGCGTAATTTTTGAAGACTTTCGAAGTTCCCGTATTGTTTCAGGTATTTGGACGAGAGCAGTTTCCTAATCGGATAACATCAAATTTAGATCTTCTAATGCGACGTTTCAACGAAGTACAATTTTGGACAACAACTGAAGTATTGCTTGCTCAAGGCAACGCAAAACGTCTTTCCATTCTCAAAAAATTTATCAAAATTGCCGCACAGTGAGTTTCATATAATTTCCAATAAAAATAAATAAAGTGCAGTCGGCATATGCGGAACATAACATCAACTTTTTGATTTTGCAAGATATAACAATAGGAATTGAGATTTACTAATCCACTCTTTCCGTTTATTGCCAAGTGAGGTTCACATTTTTAATTTCGATACCTAATTCAAGCTTCTTATTTTAAAACTCGATTTTAACTTGCTCTACACCTTAACTTTAATGATCGGTAAATGGTTAAAATAAAGTATGTGAATTCTGCAGCGCAAAGGAAAACAAGGACTTGTTGTCATTATTTGCGATTATCTTAGGTCTCAGTAATGTTGCTGTTAGTCGGATCACTCATCTTTGGGATGTAAGTTTATCAAAAGAACTTTTTTATTTTTCTTACATCAAAGATAGCATCTTCGAACCTTAAATGAATTTTAGATTCAAGTCTGAAATATATGGCGAAACAGACACGACGTATACCAGTGTCTCATCAGATTTTGGAGTAATATCATTTATCAAATATCATTATTTCCAGAAACTTCCATCTAAGATGAAGCAACAGTACGCGGAGTTCGAAGAATTGCTTGACCCATGCCGTAATCACCGTGCTTATCGGATGCTTACAGCCAATATGAGTGCACCAACGGTGCCATTTATTCCACTGCTTCTCAAAGATTTAACATTTACACATGAGGGCAATAAGACCTACTTCGCTGGTTTGATCAATTTCGAAAAAATGGTAAGCGCCACATAATTACATGTTTGATATACATGCCAATGTGGAAACTGCGCATTAAATTCACTTTCTAATCTCTTTCATCTCATTTTTTCATATGCTTGGAGTTGCATTCCAAGTTAGACTCGTTACTACTCAATGTCAGATTTTTTTTTTCTGGCATTTCTTATTACTGGATAAGGTTTTTGCCAATTTTGATCAATGTGTTATCAATCTGAGATATCGATTACTGTCAAAAATCACTGATCATGTTGCGCACTAGTGAACATACCTAAAAATTTCCATCCAAGTGTTTCGGATTTATGAGAATTTTTGAAAAATCCTTAATTTTTAGGTCAATTTCTTGATAATCTGATAAATTTTTTGCCAATGTTGACCAACCAGTAGTAGTCAAAAAGAAAAAATATATCTTTTATCCTTCCTTTATTCAATTTTATCAGAAACTTAATTTTTGTCTTTACAATACCATTTTATCTCCAGAGCATACACTAATCCTCAAGGGAATTATTTCGAATGTTTGAATGATTTCAGCACATGATTGCTAACGTTTTGCGGGGCTTTAGGCAGTGCAAATATCCAGGTATGTTTAAGAGGTCATTTCACAACTACTGATTCTAATTTCTCAGTAAAAAACTTTGGATAGCATTAGCCATGTTGTTGATTAATATCCGGATAATATATCATTCTCATTATATTTTGCCAGATTTACCAGGTGTCGTAAAAACCATATCCGATGTATCACTTAGCAATGCTAATATCTTGATAGTGTTCATAAAGTGCCTAGTAAATTTACATAGTACATTTACGGTAACATTGGAATCATTTGAACCATTTTTTTCAGCTTTCGCCTTCGAACGGAAGGTTTTCAAGTCAAAAAACCTTGTTAGGTAGGTATTTTTTCCAAGTTATTAAAAGGTAGTTCCATCATTGTAGCATGAAGTCACGGCTTTTCACCATGGACACACACCATGGAGTTACTCTGATCGCTTTCTGGGCGTTCTCTTAGAAATTTCTAGAATATCTAAAAAATTTCGCGAATTCTTTGAGACTTGCTTTTCCATTTTTCCTAAAAATCGGTCCATCGATTATACTTTTTGTAGGAATTTCAAAGTGATCGACAATCAGCGGCGTCTGATGGAATTATCTTATCAAATTGAGCCATCAAAAAAAAACGTTTGTAGTAACAGTGTTCATATCGTTCTAGCAAATTAATATCCGTAGTGAAAGCAAAAATGGTGGTCGGTGAATGTAATACTAGCAAAAATAACAAACTGATTTCGTACAGAGTAAAATTGGTGCTCTCACGGAGCGGCAATTATGGCAGAGCTCTAAAAATAGCAATAAGTGTCGAAGGAACTATTGATATATTAATGATAATCATGGTGGTCTTGACAGTATTAGAAATCCTAGTAGTAGTGTTGTTCTGCCGATAGAAACTTGGTTTTAGAAGACTACTCCACGATATTATCAAAGGTACTTGTGATGGCACTTGTGCATATTCATGTCAATGATATGAATTCTTCCCGCTTGTACCTCCTTTCATCTTGATCTCAGTTTTCCGCTCTCCCTGTACTCTTATTAAATAATTTCTATCAACATCCCCTAATATTTTTATTTATAACTATTATTTACTTCCCTGCATAAATCCACAAATCCTATCTTCACATTTCGTTTAAATATCATTGCAGTTGTCAGATATGTCACAGCTTCGCTCCATTAAGGAAAAGTCGCTGTGAATGAAAATTGAAAGTAGAATTGTGGAAAGCCTTTTAAACACGTAAAATCTAGCTTTTAAAAGCAAATTGAAATTTAACAAGGTTATAATAAAAAATGTATGGAAAAATCATAACTGAAGATACGGCACTCGTTCAAAGTTAAGCTCTGCAAATTAAGTAGTGATTGTTAACAGTGGCCGAAAATTTTGATTGCTAAAAGAAATTTCCAAGTTAAAAATTTATTATTCAGAAAAGCGGCTAAAGTAACAATACATGTTTTTCCGAAACAGAACTGAAACTTCTCGGTCCCTCCATAATTTTTATATAAAATGATTTAGAGGAGAAAGTAAAGTTATAATGAAATATAAAATCATACTAAAATTAAGTGAAAACCACAGCATTCATGAAAAACCACCTAGTAGTGGGTGTTAAACGATTAAATTTTTCCAGCCTTGTCAGTTCAGGAAGGGTGAATGAAGTAATTTGAAACTATTGTGATAAATGAACCGAGATTTCAGGATTCCTGAAATCTTGGGATCCTTTCAAGACTGGAATCTTCAAGATGTAATATACAGTGAACTATCCCGTTGAAATCATCAGTCGAAAAATAAATACGAATGTAGGATGAATTGAAAAACTACTTTTTTTTTTTGTTGAAGTCTACTAAATTCAATCATTAGAATTAAGAATGCTCATGATTTTCATATGAAACTTGAAGAAGATGAAAAATCATTGTCACCATCATTTGTAACAGATCTACTCCAGAACGCAAGCAAGATTGATACCATTTTCATCAATTTTTATATTACCTAGCTGGCCTTCGTTAAACAACCGAATATGCTGTATGAAAAGTAATATTGTTCGCCAGAGATTTTTTGTGCCGCGATCAACTTCGAAACGTTCACGACCACCATCCAGGACCAATTCAAAGTGTGGAGGATGAGTGCTACTCTAAAAAATCTAATAATGCTCCAAAGCTTAACTGTTGAGTCGATGGATTCGTTGTTTAACTGGATTAACAAATCACATGCCGAAATGCCGAAAAGTGAAATTTTCCAGTTAAATACCTGATAAATGTAGAAAGACTTCTTCATACACTGTAATGGCGACGGCTTTGCGGGCTTTTTTAGGTAGAAAACTGACGAGAATGGCATTTCGATATCATTCACCAAAGGATTTGTTCCCATCCTGTAGAAAAAATGTTTTTTAATGGTTTCATATACTTCAAGTGAGTCTGTCATATCATTTCTTTATCAAAAGTAGTCAGCACTTAACTTTTGCAATAATCACAAAATATAAACTGAAACTATTACCGCGCATCCATGTAAACTGCAAACCACGACCAAATAAGCTGGGCGTCTGTTGGTAAATGGGGGCCCCATGCATGCTCTGTTGGCGAATAAGCCTGTTCACCTGAAATACAAATCCCTCATTTCTTAATTCTAAAAGTTTCTAGATGCCTAATTAGTTTTTAAATAACATTAAATTCAACGGCGCTTGAATTTTTCATGGGTATCAAAAGTGTGCACTTGCTCTCCCTAGCTTTCCTTCTAAAAAAGGAAATCTCAGAATGAAAACAAAAGAAAAGAAATTTAACCTTCTTCTCTCCTTTCAACAGGCTCATATCCTCCGCTTTGCCAATTGTACTCTCTCATGCAGACATCAACGCACAATTCTCGACATCTTTTAATCAAATAAGACTGTTTTTCATGTGTTTTGAGATATGGTAAAATGTATGGCAGGGCTGACTTCAGCAAATCACTTTTCGATGAAGCAGCAGTTTGAAGAGCCTCAACAGATGAGTGACCGATTTTCAAATGCAAATATGTATGGGACTGAAAATTTCTGCTTTTTCCCTTTGTTAGTCATCATTAGTGCATAAACCCACTCATTCGATTTTTCTACCTAGCTTTAATTTTCATTAGATGCTCGACATCTTTGCAATTCTAAAAGTTAATTTAGGATTAACAATAAGTACTGCTTGTGCGATAACGGATTTCTCTTTATATCTTTTATATTAAGAAAAAAATAGATTAATTAAAGGTAGCTATAAGTTATTCTACGGTTATCACAAGTTCACTTAAATTCGCGAATAATCATCCGAAAGAAATTTTCGAAATTGAGAAAAAACATGCCTTCATAAAAATAGCATTAATTTCATCTACTTTTACAATGAGTGGACGTAAAATTGTTTGACAAATCCAGGAGCGTAAATTACGTTCAGCGACCGCGAAGTCTTCAGCGTCCATTTTATATCTACAACACAAAACGCGAACCATTCTAAAACTTTTCATCACACTTTGAAAACCTGTTTTAGTCACAAGAAAATAAAAAAAAACCTAGAACAACAAGAATTCTCACTGATTCAATATTTCCGAAGAAGTGATCGGTATCTGCTTGCCAGTGGGACTGCTTTCAATTCCGTTCGACTGAACCACATTTGAAAATTGGTTTCCAGAATGTGAATGTGGAGATAAGCTAGAATGGCGACGACGTTCATAACTTTCTGGTCGACGAAGCAACGGCGGAGTAAATCCTGTAAACTTCGGCTGGGTATCAAGAACTTTTTAGACTAAAATCTAAACGAAGTGTGCGTGACTGGGAAAAACATAAAGTTTCCATCCCCAAATTTTCAATTCAAAACCAGTGTTGTATTTCCGAAATGAAAACTGAATTTTAGGAAATTCTCCCCTAAACTGAGCAACGATTTGACCTATACTTGATAGCCAAAAGGAACATATTGATATTTTCATTTTGCTTATTATAATATATCTAAAATCTGCTAGTGACAAAAAAAATTTTTGCCTTTTTAATCAGTAATTTTTAAGTTTAGGCAAAATTTTCAAAATCAAATTGAATTTCACAAACCCTGGCCACTCCTTGGTGATCGCTTTGCAGCGTTATGATTCACACGAAATGTAATACTATCATTGTTAACATTTCGTGTAACGTCAGCCGCATCGCTCGCCATACCCTTACCATCTTCAGCGGTCAATTCATTGCCGACTTCAATCAAATTCAGTGGAATTGGTGATAACGATATGCGTTTATCAGTTACCATTATACGGCTGCCTGAATAAAAATATGAATCTATACAATTGTGTCTTGTGAATATGCGAATATTAAAATATTAACGATTTCTCTCCATCATCATCAGCAATGTACGACTAGAAATGAATGAGAATTTCTCAAACGGTGATATGAATTAAACATGACATGTTCATTTTTTGTGCGACAACATAAGTTTAACATCATTAAACCTATCGTAAAGTATCACGATATTTTAGATTACATCAAAAATACGCCAACTAGTATAAAAAATTGCGCTATCTTAACAGCAGATCACGCCAAATTTATGCATTTTGCACGACGCACATTTGATTGCAATTATCTTAGAATTGCAATTATCAAATTTGATTGCAATTATCTTAGTTCATTTAAACGTTCTGTTTCAACTTCTAAGCAAAGTCATCATTTTTCATAGGTAAAAGATTAAATTGATATCATTGTATAATACATATTATATTATATTATAACAAATACTGCATAATCAAATAGCAACCTGTTACCAACGTAACAACACTATTTTCATCGCCTACCACTCTCCCTTGTTCATCATCATACATGGCAGTTCCAACTTCGTAACTGTTATTTCTGGAAATTGTCAAACGGAATGGCTTAGAAATACCAATGATACGCTCGGATTCGGAAGATGACAATGAACCAAACGACGTTGAAAACGGTGCTAAGGCACTTTTGCATAATTCATTGTTCTCAGGACTGAAAAATTTTGAACTTTATTTTATTTCTTTCAATTCATATGAAATTTATTACACTCGACGATTATCTTATAGTATACTCTTTTCGTAGTATTGGAATCTGTGTACTTTTGTGAGATAGAGGAAGGAATCTATTAAACTTAAGCTACCGATAGAGTTCCCGTATGCAATTCGTCTACATTAAGAAGCTAAACGATGTTTTCCAGCCAGGTAAAGAGAAGAAAGGTTGTTTATACCTTATACTTTAACGACTGTGTTAGATTGGTGCCTTTCAGTTTAACGAATGCAACTGCACAATCTTTACCTTCCAGTGGAAGCGCGAAAGTTGACTTGTCTAGCATTCTCACGAAAGTAATAACGAAACATATATAGTGGTCAGAAAGATTTCGCATGTTTTATATCTTTAAAGTTTTCGTATATTTTTCTCAGGCATATATTGTTAACATGCTGAGCAGCAAACCAGCATAACTATAGTCGATGAAAGTTAGGCATATATTATTAACATGTTGAGCAGCAAAAATTCCAAATAAAAACCACATCCTACAAATGGTTATTTGAAGTGTTTGCTTTAATACCGCAAGGGCAGTCGTTCTTCACGATGTAGTTTCTAACCTTTTTTGAAGATACTCTTCCAACTGCTTATTTGTTTGAATTGAACAAGTCGGACGACTCCGAAGAGATGTCCTTGAACCAACTTTCGCAGATAATGGTACAGAATGGCCCAAATGTCTTTCTACATATGAACAGTGGTGGTCAACCAATGGTGTTGAATGTAAGAACAAAGTGCTGTCGCCAAACGCGTTTCCTGACTTGCGACTGCAAATTTATTCGTTTTGCGACTATAAACTTTTTTGTTTTTGTGCTTAAATGACTTTAAATAAAAAAATTTTCTCATAATGTTTCAAAAGTGTTACAAATTAATGATGTTGTGTAAATTCTGCCATATTGGGGATCTTTTGCGAAAAGGTTCAAATGATCATTGAAAATCCCAGCTCACTGTCAAGAGAAGATGACGGTTCACAGATTTTAGCTCTATTACTTGTACGTCTGTATTCTTGGAATGGATGAAAATTTCAGGGAACCAACTAACCTATTAAACGAAGACCCAATTGAAGAGCTAGTCAAATTATGCCTTATATAATTTGATGAAAATGGATTTTTCGGAGCTTGTGCTGCCCAGTTGCCAAAATGTAAAGCCGAAAGCCACTGTGTGATAAAATTTCGATTTGATGGAGGCGATGAAATGCTGCAGCCACCTGAAAAATGAAGCCAAAATACCCGTCAAATAAAGATTATCTTCTCCAAAAAAATAGTAAAAACTAATTTCATTCAAAATATTAGAATATTTTGCTCATAGAATTCTCAAATTCAGGGAATCCAAGTTCTTACCTACGAATGACTGTTATGTTTCTTAAAATGGAATAAGATCACCTGCCAAAGAAAAACCTTCAGTAAGCACTATACGAATATTTCTATAAGATTGCTGAGGTCAAAGCATTTCTGTTTGCTTTTAAAATGTTAAAATGTCAAAGTCTCACTCTGATCAGTCACAAGTGAAGAAGTTTGATGCGGTGTAAGTTTCGATGGCACTCTCCTCGTGATATAGCAAGAATATTTCGTTGCTTCGAAAAAACATACCAACAAATTCAACAAACAAATGAAAAGTGCAGTGATTTCAACCACATATGTCGTTAAATGAACTCTATTATACTGCAGAAAGAAAGAAATCAAAATGGTGCAAGTGGCGTAATTGAAAGCGAAAATCTAAAAGAAGAAATATTGAGATGTATATACATACGCTCGTTTCTGTCATTAATATAAGCAAAAAAATGAAGTTATAGTTAAAACCAAAAGCAAAATCAGAGAAGTTTGAAAACCAATTCCAGAGTGAGCTGAAGAAAATGAAGAAACTTAAGACGAAAATGGGATCTATTTAATTGGAAAAATATCAAATCCTAAATCAGCTGCATAAATTTTTAATTCAGAATAACTCACATCAAAAATGAAGTAAACCGTTGGTAAGACCCAAATTATAACTTGCCGCCACAACTGCCAAAGCCTGTAAATAATCATTGCACTGTCTCAGTTAAAATTCATGCAACTTTTTCGAGTCCTAACTAATTCTATTTCCCAACAATTAAAATTAAGAAAGTTGAAACAGTTCTATGCAAACAGAAAACCAGTACGTTTTGGGGCCCTTAGAGCTGCCAAAAATGTAAACTTGCAGAACAACTGACAAAATATATACCTCGTCAATAAATTACTGACTGTGATCTTAACCGATTGACTGATATAATCTAATATGCTGACTAGACTTATTTCAACTAGGAAAACCACACAGAATCACTTTAAAATAGCTAAATCACATACCTTGCTTTTTCAGTTCCTCGTTCCAATGCAAGCAGTAAATCGAGTTTATTCTTTGTTGGCAAAACCGTCCCTTTATGCCATGATGAATTCATTCTCAATTCAATCAGTTGTCACTGATCAAGCACCACGAGACGTATCAGCTACATAAATTTTAATCAGAAGTTCACAGAAAAAGCAAAACATATTACTATAATCCACAAAACAGAGCACACTTTTTTCTGTACCGCAACCATCACTTCCACGTTTTTACGATTTATACATAACTCGAAAAGGTGAATATTTCAAAAGCATTAAAACAGTGCTTACTTAATAATCCAAAGTAAGAAAATTTTGCTGCATAAAGTAATATGTGCCTATAAAAATGAATCCACTATCCCAAAAATGATACGACATACAGTCGCGTATATTTGAAAAAAAACTTTGTTAACAAGCGGAAAGAATGCAAAGTATAATCAATAATTTTTTCGCTTCATTCAAAATGGACATGCAAATGAAGAATACATAGTAGAGAATTTGTTGCTTCATATATATATATATATGATTAATGCTAACAGTTCGCTGGGAGTGAAAAGGTTTATTTTAGCCCCATAAAGGACTTAAATTTTAAATTCCCAATTTTTTACATGAAGGAACATAAATACACAAAAACAAGCAATATGAAATAAATGAAAGTGCTGACAAATTCATATGACACAAAACAACTATAAAATGAAGGCCTGCAATCACAATACTGAAAGACATGCATAAACTTAAATTTTTCAAATAATGCTTATTTACTATTTCAAAAAACGGAATTTTCTACAGTGTTGAATCTTAAAGTTGCATTAAAACATGCATTTTGCACACTTTGCTAGCACCCAACATATCCAAAAAGGCCTACATAAAATCAATTACAGAATTAAACTCCCTTGAATACTTTAGAGCTTTTCGGAAAACCTTTCATGGGGATAAGCTGCCTTAATCAGGAGATTTATTACAGTCACATATGAAGTAGTGGTACCAGTGTTGATTACAGCAATTTCACTACAAAATTTACAGATTGAAGAATATAACCGGAACTAAACAATCATGCACAATAAGGTGTGAAATCAACTTCCGAATTAAATGTAACCCGATATTGTGAAATTATGGAAATCCCATCATATAGTAAGCTTGACTAGGCGTTCTTATCGTGAAAAAGGACGATTCGGTTCCTGCTTATAACAGTATTTCATCTTCTCGCTTTTGTATTTATTTTCCGAATGCACACTCTGGAAAAGAAATGTATTTACTTCGTTAAAAAAAAATGCATTGCCATCCAAACATTTACTATGCACTTTATCATTTTGGGGGGCGAATATTTCATATTTCATAGAAATATTTGGTGTTCCATTCTTTTCATTCTTCTCATCCTCACCCCATAATATTTCAGAAAAGGAAAAGCAAGGCATCCAGCAGATAATCTTGAAATCTGAAATTTCAAATTTCGTATCCTTACATTTGACGAGGTGCGACATTTCAGCATGCAAAGCTCGAATTGGTCCGTCGCAGATAGTATCTGCCGTAATCGGTGTCCAGACGTCGATTCTATCATTTCTAGCAGTATATTTTTCTATAAAACATATTTTTTGCCAAAAAGTAAAATTTGATTAAATAAATTGCCTTACTAGATTTCTAAATGTTTGGCTGGCATAAAATATATGTTTATGATGAAAACAGTAAGTCAACCATCAAACAATCCTTTTTTTTTAATTTTAATTTTAGTTGGATCAAGAATGTACCTGCTCGGGTCTCAAACAACAGGAAACGCACTGCTCGTAGTAAGAGCAACAACCGGTATACAAATCACACCAAGCGCAGCTAAAGCGTACTGATTGAGTGCCCACTTCGCAACAACCATTTAACATCAAGAAAGCTCTTTCACATGTATAACCTGAGTAGTAAAAAAAAAAAAACTGCATAAAATGCTTTCGAAAAATAATCATAGGGAATCTGATATAAACAAAAGATCAACGACTCTGCTGGAAATCAAACCTTTTTTCTTACTCTGTGGAGTGATAAGTATCAAAGTAAGCCGTGATGCATTAAGAAAGATGAGAAGGAACTTTTGCTAGCTACAGTATACAAAAGTTGGAAGTCAGTTTTTCAACAAAAAAATAGAACGAATACCTCAAGCACTATATACCCTGTTCAGCTGATGAAAACAATTGGAAATTTAAGGACTAAAAATCATAAGTGCATAAAAATAGTTTAAATAAACTTGGCCCTACCTTACGAAATTCAAATTACCTCTGTCATCAGTAACAGAAGTCCTTCCTTGTACTGTATTACGGCAAGTCTTTCCTTCATCGCTCACATAACTATCGTTTACTGCATTCGTACTTCGTCCAGCACTATCTGCTAACCATTGGATATGTCTATGTGCTGTTAGCTTGTATTTATCTAGCATCTTTTCCTCAATGTCTTGCTGCAAATCACAAATTATATGAGTACCAACCATTTTTCACAACCATTCAGTTGATGTTGGACTATTGGGAAGACAAATGTCTGTTCGCTAACAGAGTATAAAGTGGGATTAACCTAAGTCCAAAGGAATTTTGGTGTATCATTAAATAACCTAAAGTTAAGTAAGACATACTGCGTTTATTCGAGAAGCTGTACTTTATATTTACACAACCTTTCAGAGTTATAGTTGAAACATACATTGATCTAGTGCAACAAGACTAATTAAAGCAAAAATTGCAGTGTTTGAAAATTCAAATTGAGAGAGTTAAACTTACATGAAAGGAATAAAACGACCAAAAATTAGGACTTACCGCAGAAATACTTAACGCATTTTGTACAACCCAAGCTAGAAGACCACTCTCGACTATGAAGTAAAGTAAACTGAAAACAAAAAGAAAAGCAAGGACGCAGGTGGCTCGAAGTGACCGAATGACCAGTCTTTTCCCGTGGTGTGCCATCCGCATGTACACCTTAAATCCTTCTCGTGCATTCCAACTACGCGTTTCCACTTCCGTCGACCCACTGTCCGTATAAGCTCACCGGAATAAGCAACCCATGCTTCTGAAAATAAATGCGCTTGCAACAAAGCTGACTTTCTCGAAATTTTAGCAAATTTCAACTTGCCGCCTGGTTAACTCAGCAATCTCTTTTAGACCTCAACCAACGCCTACTCTCTCTACAGTCAACCGGAAAAACTATCCTGATTGATATCCCTGCCGTATGATTCCGATATGACTTCATGAATCAATTGATGAAGGAACAAAGCGAAGAGTTTTTTTAACGATTAAAGATTGAAGACAGTATCGGTTAGGATTTGAAGAGTAAGATAGACTTTTAAGCTTGGAGAGGAAACAGAAAGAGAAGAAATTTGCGAAGCGAACTATCACCGCGGTTGAAAATTGGAACACAGGATAGAAAAGGAAGAAATAAACGTGCAGTTGTTTGACAACGAGGTAGGTTAAAATTGCGGGTGGACGGGAGGAGATAGTGGTTGTTCGCAGTGAAGGGGAAGGGATATTGGTTGTTTGAGAGTAGACGGGAAGGGTTATTGGTTGGCTGGTTGTGATGGATGTAAATAGTCACTATGTTTATGAATTCTTGTTACTTTGTTCTCTTTCAGCTTCTTCTCACATTTTCTTGCGTTTGTTCCATTCATTCCGTAAAAAGCAAGAAATGGTGAGTGGGTGGGAAAGTTGGAAATGGCCTGCTGTCACCAGTATTTTTCCCGCATACACCCATCATGTACAATGGTGATGTGCAGCATATGTAATTAAAATAAAGGCTTAAAAATACAAGTAAGCTGGATCAGAATATAGCTTTGATGTTAGCGAATTGGTATGATGCGAGAAAGTGTGCTTGTAAACGTGAGATGCTGTTTTCATCGGACATTTCAATAGTGTTCCTTCATTTGCGAATTTCTTTTTCTCGAAGTTGAAAACTGAGAAGGAAATTGAAATCAATTCGTTGTAGTGATTACAAAGGTCGACAACGCATTTCGTTTGCGGTGATCTGAACTTTTTTGTAAATTATGCAATATTACATGCCGGTTCACTTCAACTTCTTATTCGGGAAAGGTGTAAAATACAATGACATTATCTATAAAGCTATGGTTAAAGTGCTTAGGAATTGATGTCCTTCTTGTTTTTAATGGAAGAAGAAAGGGCGGAATTCTACTGAATTAAATGAAAAGAATTCAGGGTCTTAAGTTTCGGCGTTTGGTTAATAATACACTCCACTAATTAGTTATATCGGTCATCATAAAACATTTTGCTGTTATGACATCAAAAGAGAAGAGTGATAGGCTTAGTCTTTGATCTATTTTTTGAGGCATACTGTATGCGTACGGCTATTGTGTTTTTACTCTGAAATCATAACTGTAATAAAAAGCATTGAATGAGATGTTTTCTATTTTGGCTTGTTTGAATTTTTTTCATTGTGGAGATAATGAACGCATTGCTTGATGTCTGCATATTTTTGGGAATGAACAAATAATGATAAGTAGCGTGGTATTTTTCATTTAAGATTCTATACTAGTGATACAATACAGTAGATTTGATGATGTGATTTGCTGCAGACAGTATGCTTGTTTCGGACTTCACATTGGTTCACATTGCTTTATGTAATTTTAACGTTCCACTTTTAGATTTATGAATGCCTCAGTTTCTTCTCGATTCTCGCATGATTTTTTTCCTGCTCACCAGTCACAGTATTACATTTGATTACCTATAGGTACCAACTTTTTCTTCATTTGTAGATCTGGCTTTGTAGTGAAGTACTGTAAGTGATTGCTTGGTAATCGAGGAGGAGATGAGGAAATTATGAATGGATTATGGCTAGCTGCACTTCATTTTTTATAATGCCTTTTTTTGGCTGTAGAATTAAACAACGTTCCTCTCGTATTTCGACTTCTCGAATTATTTATGTCAATCAAACTTCACAACCCGAGAAGTATCGGTCTAATGCTATCAGGTATGATACAATAAATTATTATTGAACGACTATTAATCTAAATAACGCAATGTTCTGAATAACGCGGTAATCTAAATAAGACGGTCTAAAATACGCGGTGTTTTTATAGACTGCTGTTGTGGATTCGAATTATAATTTCGAATATCTATTACAAATATCCGTGCCTTTTCCCTGAATGTTGCCTGTAGTTCGGAGAACTGGAAGTGAAAAAACAAATTCGGGGAATTTTCGGATTATTTATCTGTCATTTTCAGCACCGCTAAGTATAATATATTTTCTTTTTTCCCACGATTCCTAAAAGAACAATTCAGACGATACAGCAATGTGTTCTTTCTCATTATCGCTCTTCTCCAGGTTAGTATTTATTTCTGGAATTACAGTCCGTTGGTTAATCATCATCATGATTAGGCTTCGCAAACAAAAATATGAGAAGAGCTCTATCCATGCTTGGTGCATGGGCGCTGACTGGAGAGGGCAATGCGGAATAGGCAGGTCCAGTTTCAAAAGACATAGCGGAAAGTCTCCATAGGTAGTATTGGCGAGGCACGGTTGTTTCATGCATTGTCTTTCCGTCTTGCTCAAAGGAAACAGCAGCGTTATGGATGGTGTGTCTCCATGTCTTCTGATTCTAGGTCAGAGTGGGCTATTAATCAGTCAGTATGGCCAAGGCTAAGGTACTATTTCAGGGGATCTGTGTATTTTCTCTTTGTGGCTCGTCTTTTGTGGAAGCCGGTAGCGGGTTCACCGTTGAGCACTATCTTGGGAAAGCAATGATCTTTCATTCTGGAGACGTGCCCTGCTCTAGCTGCGTTCTCAGTAGTATGGCCTCAGTAATGGTGACCGCTGCCTGTTCATATCAGTAACTTAATCAGTCCAGTGGATGCTTAAGATTGTACGGAGGCACTGATTGAAACGTTTGGGGAGTCGCAGATAGTGATGGTAGATAACCCATAATTCAGGCTCATATAAAAGAGTAGACAGTACAGTGACTTTATGGACACTAATCTTGATACTTTTCTTGAATGTTTACAGTACCACATTTTTCTATCTAGTTTTCCGAAAGTTTTGTATGCCTTTGCTAACCTGTTGTGGTTTTCTTCGTCATTCTTACTAGTCCGAAGAAATGATGCTTCTTAGGTAGTTGAACTGTTGGACTAAGTTCTGATTTGTCTGTGGTGATGTGGTAATGATGGAAAACTTCTTGAGAACCAGGTTGGTAAAGAAATTCAGTCTTCTTCAAATCGACTTTCAGCCCAAAAGGCTCCGCAGGCTCTGCAAAGTATAATTTGAGTACTGGAGAGTTGTTTTTATGTGAGTAACGAGGGCGACACCATCGGCAGAAATTAGCTTTCAAACGTGTGATTTAGGCTCTTGGTATGGTCTTTTAGTAGCCCTAGGTTGAATAGGCTCCCATTGCTGCAATAGAGCGTGTAAATAACATTTCCTTTATCGAGTCTTCCTTGTCCTTTAGATCATCACACTGAAAAAGATTGTGAATAGAGCTGGTGCGAGAACGCAACCTTGTTTCATATTGAGGAGTATTGAGAAGGGCTCAGAGAGTGCATCGCCATGACTTGGCTGCTCGAAACTTCATGTAGCAGGATAATCATTTTGAGAAACTTGGAGAAACATCTAATCTTTCCTAGATCTGCCATAAGTTTTTTCTGTTCACAATGTCAAAAGCTTTAAGACGACCACGAAGGTTAATATATAAAGTTCTTTGTTCTATTCTCCACACTTCTCGTTACAGTTGTTTAAAAACAAGTACCATATCAGTGGTATTTCTGTTGGCTTTGAAACCAAATTGGCTTCCAGGTAGAAGTTCTGAGATAGCGGATATTAATTTGTTCAAAACTATACAAAAATTTTATCAACAATAAAGAGCAATGTAATACTTCGATAATTTGAGCACTCTGATTTTTCTCCTTTCTTAGGCACTGTACAATGTACATGGTGATGATGACTACACCACGGAGATCTGGTGGTAGTTTTCCTTTTTCGTAGCAACGACAACGAATTCGTGAAATTTAACATGAAGTGCTTGGCTTTTCAGCTTCCCGACCTCAAATGGGATTCCATCAGTCCAGTTGCCTGACCAGTTTTTACCTGCTGTATGACCGTAAAAGTCTCTCGCACAGTGCGGATTATATCAATTTCGTTTTTCATCGGTATTTGTGTGATGTGCTTAGTTGCTAAGTCTTGGACTATACGGTTGGTATTGGGAAGGGTCTGGAAATTTTCAGACCGTCGGTTCAGGATAGATGTTTTATCTATGAAAAACATTTGGCCATCTATGCTAAATAGGGAGCTTTGAATATAATGTGTAGGTCCTTACACTGCTTTTAGAGCCTCATAAAATCTCTATGCGCATAGCTGATAGTGAGTCTTTTCTACTATGTTGATCCACCATTTGGTCTGGATATCTCAAAGTTTCTGTTTGACCTTATTGCATGCAAGACAAAAGGTAAGATGATTGAGCAAGGTGTGCTTGATGATCAGTTCATTTCTGTGTTAACAATTCCTGGAACTCTTGATTGTTTTCATCAAACTGCTATATTCATTTCAGTGGATTTTTTCAGCAAATTCCAGATGTTAGTCCAACAGGTCGTTTTACAACTGCAGGACCCTTAATCATTATTTTAACCGTATCGGCTATTAAAGAAATATTTGAAGACATTGTAAGTTTTATATATTGCTATATATGCAAAGAATTCTGTAGTGAGATAAACGCAAGATCATGTCAAAGGTATTACAAAAATACAAGGGATTCATAACTTTCAGTGAAATTAAAATTTTGTATTTCGATTGGTTTGCAGAAGCGACGAAAATCTGATCATACGGTTAATAATTACCGTGCTACAGTTCTCAAAGGTCGTGAATGGAAGTATGCTCTTTGGAAAGATGTAGGTTTTTTATCGAATAAATAGTTGTAAGATGAATAGACAAAGAACTGCAAAAGCACGAGAAACTTGTAATTTTTTGAAAGCATTTTTTACACCTAAAACTGTAAGATAAAATAATATCTGAAGTAATTCGCGGAATAGTTTTATTTCGAAAGGTCCAATCGCTCCATATTATTTGATTTCTTACTAGGTTACTGGCACTTCGGAATTCCTAATTTTTACTTCTTCAGTAGCTTTTCTACGGTGTGACGCTGAAACTGTTGGTGATTTATGACTTGGTAAATAAGATAACATTGATAGCCTTATTCTGATCTTAACAGGCGCAATGGCCTATATGGATTTATGCCATATTCGAGATCCATGCTAAATTAAATGACTGGGTGGTTTGAATGATTTTCGAAATTATATTTATGCTAATCAAGGCTTATTGATTTTCTTAAATGCTCGGCTTTATAAACTTCAGTTGAAAGTGGGCGATATTGTACGAGTGGAAAATAATCAGATGTTCCCAGCGGATATGGCACTGTTGTCATCCAGTGAACCGCTAGCTATAGCTTATATCGAAACTTCACATCTGGATGGAGAAACGAATCTGAAAATTCGACAAGGACTTGAATGTACATCGGACTTGATAGCTACAGCACCAATTAGAGATTTCCAGTGTGAGATCCAATGTGAACATCCAAATCAAAATGTAAATGAATTTACGGGGACGTTACATATGCACAATTTGCGGCGACCTCTCAGTACGTTTGCAACATATTCAAAAAATTGCAATAGTATCTTCCCGCAAGCTTCATCCCGAAAATTTGTAATTATTATTTGGTTTCTTAATCAGTAATGAAACACAGTATACATGTATATATACATATATACATATACATATATATATATATATATACATATATATATATATATATATATATATATATATATATATATATATATATATATATATATATATATA